TCACCTAGCTCCTGGGAAGGAAGGAGGCTTCACTGCCCTGCTGCAGCAAAGCCACCTCCCCAAGAGCCAGCGGAGTGTCGCTGACACTGAAAAGCTTCCAGAAAGAAGGGAGTCTTGGGGGGAGGCGGCTATGAAGGAGGCTAGTAAAGGACAAAGCTTTTGGGAGAATGGTGAATATGGGTGACTATCCTGAATTGATTGGGGGGCACTTAGTTTTGTAGAAAGGGGGGACAATATCTGTCATAGCACATGCATAATGCTAAAGCCGTCTTCCATCCTTCAGGCTGTACCATCTCTGCACTACAGCTGCCTCCCACATCACACTTCATAACATTGACTACTGAAGTCATCAGGATGGAAAACTAAAAAAATGCAGCTCTCCAAGTGCTCAGCTGTTCTCTAATAGGGAACAGGGCCAGGTCCATCTGTCTCTGCCTCCTCCCAATAAGTGTGTTCTTTGAAATCATCATCAAACATTTTGCTTTGATTTAAAGGTGTTTTTTTTGTTTTTAAGTCTAGCTGAAAAAAGTCTCCCACCTTGTTTGCTCTTGCAGCCATGTTGCAGTTGTCTGCTTTGAATGCTTTTGCATTTGAGGCCCGACCCTGTCGCTTTGTGCTTGCAGGTATTGGCTGTCCTTTCAAAAGACCTGGCACAGCTTTTTGCACAGCATAACTTGATAATCGGTAAAATGTCACGGTACTGTTTGGGGAGCTTCTACACCAATTAAAGAAATGTGTGCCCTAAATGCAGCAGGCAGGAAACATACCTGTTTGTACCTGGAAAGCAATCAACTTCAAATAGAAAAAGTCATAATGCAAAAATAAAAGAGAAAATGGGTGGTGGAGAAAGTAACTGAATGAGACTAGTCTTCATGGAATAAAGTTGCATGATACGGTCTCACATGATATTCTTATTGATAAACTAGGCAAATATAACTTAGATAGGGCCACGATAAGGTGGGTGCATAATTGGCTGGATAACCGTAGTCAGAGAGTTGTTGTTAATGGTTCTAAATCCTGCTGGAAAGGGATAACAAGTGGAGTTCCTCAAGGGTCTGTTTTGGGACCCGTACTGTTCAATATCTTCATCAATGATGTAGATATTGGGATAGAGAGTACGCTTATTAAGTTTGCAGATGATACCAAACTGGGTGGGGTTGCAACTTCTTTGGAGGATAGGGACATAATTCAAAATGACCTTAGCAAGTTAGAGAAATGGTCAGAGGTAAACAGGATGAGGTTTAATAAAGAGAAATGCAAAGTGCTCCACTTAGGAAGGAACAATCAGTTCCATACATACAAGATGGGAAGCGACTGTCTAGGAAGGAGCATGGCGGAAAGGGATCTAGGGGTCATAGTGGACCACAAGTTGAATATGAGCCAACAGTGTGATGCTGTTGCAAAAAAAGCAAATATGATTCTAGGTTGTATCAACAGGTGTGTTGTAAGCAAAACTCGTGAAGTCATTCTGCCGCTCTACTCTGCACTAGTTAGGCCTCAGCTGGAGTACTGTGTCCAGTTCTGGGCGCCACATTTCAAGAAAGATGTGGAGAAATTGGAAAGGGTACAGAGAAGAGCGACAAGAATGATTAAAGGTTTAGAGAACATGACCTATGAAGCCAGGCTTCATGAACTGGGCTTGTTTAGTTTGGAAAAAAGAAGATTAAGGGGGGACATGATAGCGGTTTTCAAATATCTAAAAGGGTGTCACAAGGAGGAAGGCGAAAATTTGTTCCTCTTGGTTTCTGAGGACAGGACAAGGAGTAATGGGCTTAAAGTGCAGCAGGGGAGGTTTAGATTGGACATTAGGAAAAAATTCCTAACTGTCAGGGTGGTCAAATATTGGAATAAATTGCCAAGGGAGGTGGTGGAATCTCCCTCTCTGGAGATATTTAAGAACAGGTTAGATAGACATCTGTCAGGGATGGTGTAGACGGAGCTTGATCCTGCCTTGAGGGCGGGGGGCTGGACTCGATGACCTCTCGAGGTCCCTTCCAGTCCTATTATTCTATGATTCTATGATTCTATGATACTTTCACCAATATACATTGTGCTTGAATTAATGAATTTCTGTCTAGTTCTGCTTAAGTCTGCAATTAGCTGCACGCGCAGGCAGTAGGGTTGCAGCTCAAGTCTGTGAAAGTGTCACTGGGTATTACTAGTGGTGGGGAGAGACTGCTGCACAGGTCCATTCGGTTTTCTACTGCACTGGTCTGCTCCAGGTGGAATTCTCAAAATAATTTCTGGCTGTTACCAGCTTTCAGCTGAAGATAAACTAACCCAGTTTCCATACCTATAAAGCACAGTGATTTATGACAGGGTTCTGTGAGGCATGACGGTTACGCTTTTGATACCTATGATCTGGCACTTAAAAAGCTGTCTCTCACAGTACAGCTGATGTGTGGATAAAAAGCTAGGTAGAAAAAAGTCATGTGATACCTCGCTCTCACATAGCGCTTCTCATCCTTGGATCTCAAAGCACACGACAGAGGTCATTAGTAGGTAGAAGCTTCTCAGCTGTATTCAGGGTGGGCCTTCACTAAAGCCATTAGACCTCGATCGTGGGATGAGCTCTGACTAGGTGGAGGCCTCTGTCCTCTCATGGAACTCAGTGTAGGAGTAGACAGACCTGAATATGCTGTATGTGTAGCAGCATGATATAAATTCTCGCTACCCATCCTGTGATGAACATTTTTCTCCCACTGAATGAAAACCAGGACTGTCTCCCCCTACAAAGCCCTGAGTGTTAAGCACAACACACAATAGAGTAAGGGGTCAGATTTTCAAAAGTGCCTGAATGATTTAGGCACCTAAGTCCCAGTTGCAAATCAGAGTTGACTCAATGAGACATAGGCTCATAAGTCACTTCTGAAAACAGGAGCTAGGCACCTAAGTTACACGGGTGCTTTTGGGACTCATGCTATGAATTGCTGACCGTCTCCGTACTGAAATCCAGAGGTGAGACAGGACTCAGCATTCATGACAGTTTTACTGCAGTTCCCCATTTTCGTGTACTGAGTTGATTTAACTTATTCCTCATTATAGCTGAAAAGGCAAGACAAATAGCCTGGCCTTTCATGAATCCAAGCCAATCTTTATCTACTTTTCCCCTCCCCCGTCCCTGACCTTTAGCCCCATGGCTGGGGAACTAGAACCAGGATGTTTCTGTCCTGAATGAGCTTGCAGTCTCTTATGATTGGTCCAAAGTAACTAGCAGCACGGGCTGAGTTGCTTATTCAGGGCTCCTAGCAGAGCTATGCAGAAGTTATTCTCAGTCTCTCTTCCAGGACACCCCCTGTAGGACTTTTTCTCTGGGCTGCAGGACATTTCTCTGGCTGAATCCTGCCAGCATGGTGGTCGAGCTTTTCCTGGATCTCCTATCCCAGCCCTGCCGAGCCCTCTTTATATTCGCCAAGAAAAACAACATCCCATTTGAGTTCAAGCATGTGGAGCTGATAAAAGGTGAGTGAAAGGCGCCTGTACCTGTGGGGGGTGACGGGGGTGTTGTCATCTCCTTTCTCTGCTAGGGGAATGCAGCAGTAACCTACTCAGGGAGGAGGTTAGATCCCAAGCAAATAGCTATGCTGGGCAGCTAGCGCCATGTTACACTCCTCAGCTGTCACTGGCTCCCACACACCTCTCTTGCTCTCAGCCCTAAAGTATCCCTGTCCGGTCACTCAGGGATTTTGCCTTGCTGTGGCCGCCAGTTGAGAGTGGAAGTTGTATTTAGGAAATGAGATGAGTGAAAGAGGCATCACCCCAGCTCTTTAAGCTCCCTTTTCTACCATCTCGCTTTCACTTTTGAGGGAACGACTTGTAACGACTGAGCATTGCCCAGTGAAGTAATGGGGCTGGGGGCAGGGGCTGGCGGGG